CCGCCCAAGCCAGTCACAACTGTCCCTGAACCTGGAGACAGCCAGATGTGGGTGGCGGCTGGGCAGGAGGCATGGCACAGGGCCTTCACGGCCACCGAGACACGACCCTCCGCCCCAGGACCGCACTGACCAGCCAACCCTACCCTCTGCAGGGACCTGGGCACCTCCCTGGGCCGCCTGCAGGTGCTGTGGCTGGCTCGCTGCGGCCTGGCTGACCTGGATGGCATCGGCTCCTTCCCGGCCCTGAAGGTGGGTTTGCGGCGCTCTGGGGAGTGCGGGGAGGCAGGGGAGCCCTGACTGAGCCCCACCCCGTGCGCCCCAGGAACTCTACCTTTCCTACAACGACGTCTCGGACCTGAGCCCGCTGTGCCTGCTTGAGCAGCTGGAGGTGCTGGACCTGGAGGGCAACTGTGTGGAGGACCCGGGGCAGCTGCGCTACCTGCAGCTGTGTCCGCGGCTGGCCACGCTCACCCTGGAGGGCAACCCGCTATGCCTGCGGCCCGGCCCCGGCCCCGCCCACCAGGTGGGCACCGGGCGGGGAGGCGCTCTGTAGCTCCAGCCTCTCGGCCCGGGGAACTGCTTTGTCCACCTGAACTCCGGCCGGGTCGCAGGGGATCCCAGGACACACGCCTAGGGCACGCCCGCCTGTCGCTGGGGGTTCTTCACTGGGAATTCATTCCCATGTTGCTGGAGGCCCGGCGGCTGCCAGCTCGTCCTTCTAGGCCAGGACCAGACTCCAGAGGGCCACGCGTACACCCCAAGAGGTCTGTGCACACGCCATGGGGAACCACGCGTGTTCTGTACAGTCTCCACGTAGAGTCATGTACACATGCACACACGGTCACATACACACACCCATGCAGGCCCCGTGCAGAGGCAGCCCCACCCCCTGCAGCGCTGCTCGTGAACCGGATGCCTGTGCACACTGCCCGCGGCTGCACACACCCTCGCACTGCCCGTGCACTCCCAGAGCTCACACGCCTGCCCAGCTACTTGTGGTGCCTGTGCACAGCAGCCGCCCACTGGGCCAGAGCTCTGAGTTCAGGGCAGCTCCGCAGGCCAGAGGGCACCCCTGGACCCTGGCAGTGAGCCCAGAGAGTGAGATCATGCATGGGTAAGAGCCCAGGGTCCCTGCAGTCCCTGCTGTCCCAGAGTGACCCAGGCTGGCCTGGCCGCCTGGGCAAAGAGAGATGCATCCCCGACCCCCAGCTCCCCTGCACTGCCCCCCCAGCAAGTCTGGGGGCAGCGGCTACGGGGCAATGCTGGCCTGACGGGCCCACCACACTCAGGCCTGCCACCCCCACCGCAGGTGCCCCAGGGCTACAACTACCGGGCAGAGGTCAGGAAGCTCATCCCCCAGCTGCAGGTCTTGGATGAGTTGCCGGCCACACACACACGCCTGCCAACCTCCCGAAAGCTGGACCACGACTGGCTCGTGGTGAAGGAGGCCATCAAGGAGGGCAGCGTCCTGGACAGCCTGCTCCCTGGGCTGGGTACAGACGGAAGCCGTCCGGGGGCCTCGGGCTGGGGCTGCCCCAGGAGAGGGCTCCATCCCCCCCACCCCTGGCCCTGCCCACAGGTCTCTCAGAGCTGGAGAGCCGCCTCGTGTCCCTTCTCAGCCACGAACCCCCCGCCCCTGCCCCGTCCCCAGAGCCCTGCACACCCACCCCCACGCCAGGACACCCTCCCTGTGAGCAGCCCTGGTGGGGGCCTCCCCAACCATCCTCAGGGGGAAAGGAGGGCCAAACCTGCCCCCTGGTGGCGCTGGGCCTCAGGCACACGCATGCTGGGTGGCGGGGGGCCCTGCTCCGTGGACAGGGTTCAGCTGGGGGGATCCTGGGTGGCCGGCTGGCGTGGGCCTTGATGGCCTCTGATTTTGACTGTTGTGCAGGTTCTCCCCACGGATCCCCCATCTGGAGATGCAGCCCCGAGCTATGCTCACCTGAGGTCCAGCGCAGGGCCCCCAGGCCCTGGCCCTGCGCCCTGCCGGAGGACGACGCCAGCAGTCTCACCCACGGTAGGCGGCCCACCTCGGTGTGACGCTGCCCCGTAGCCGCTCAGCCCCGAACCAGGCCCAGCCGTGCCCTCTTCTGCAGGTGCCAGCCGGGTCCTCTGTGGAAACCCCGCCAAAGGCCTGCAGGAGCGCCGGCACCAGTGCCAGGTACAGCCTGCTCCCCCCAGCAGGCCGGGCCCTGGCCTGACGGCGCCTGCCCCAGCACCCCCTCGAAGGCCGTGCCCGTGAACCAGCCCGTCCCTCCCCAGGCTGGGGCGCACCCAGCGAGGCTGCCGCCTCCTGGGCCCGAAGACCTGGCCACCCGGGCCTCCGCGCCAGGGCCTGACCCTGCAGACAGCCACCACCTCCTGGCCTCGGCCGGGCTTCCGGCCTTGAGGGAGCTGCGCCTGCGGTGGGTTCTCCCTGCCCCCCAGCCTGGCCCCGCCACCCTGTGTGTCCCTTCTGTCTGGGACCTGCCTTGGCTGAGTGCTCGCTGGTCCTCCCGGTGGCTGGAGGGGCTGGTCACGGGAGCCTAAGACTGGGGCACCAGCCCGAGCCACACTCATCTGGGATTGGCTCCAAAGGAGGTGCAGGGCTGCAGCCTCTCCCCTTCCCTGCACCCCAGCCCTCTCCCCAGTAGGTGCCTGGAGTCCCGGGAGGAGGGGGCTGCCGCCCCCAGGGGCCCACAGAGGGGCCCTGAAGAGCAGGACGAGGCTGGGCCCACAACTCGCCCCCGCCCCCCGAGCCTGGCCCCAGGTACCGCGCGACCACGCACACAGGCTCAGACCAGCTCTGCCCCCTCTTCAGCCAGGCTCTGAGATGGGTGGGACGGGGAGGTCCTCTCTTGGGGGTGGGGCCAACCCCAAGTCCCCCTCCCCTGAGCCCATGGGACCATGTGGCCACTGGAGCTGGATGAGAGAGAGAGAGAAGGCCCTCCAGAGAAGGGCAGTGTGAGCAGAGGCCAGAGGGGCCTGAATGAAAGAGCAAGTGGCCCCAGGGGTGGGGCAGTGAGGGGCCAGGACCAACAAGCAGGACAGAGCCACCAGAAGGCCTGAGGGGAGCGTGGCACAAGGCCAGCAAAGGGAGCAAGGCCACCAGCTGGGCAGGAGACCAAGGTGGGGAGGGGGACTGCCCTTCCTTTGCAGACAGGGCCTGTGCTGGGCTCGGGACACAGAATCAAGCCAGGCGAGGCCCTCCCTCAGGAACACTGGCTTCAGAGTGACCATGGCTGAAAGGAGCAAATGCAGGGCCTTGAGGCAGAGAGACCCCTCACCCAGCAGGCCCCAGGGAGGCTTCCTAGAGGAAGGGTCTGAACCGACTGGCAGAACAGCTGGGTGGGCAAACCCGGGGAGGGGGCGTTGTAAGCAGGGGCCACAGAATGTAGGCTGCAAGATTGGCCCAATGACCCTCCGGGGTGGCGTGGCATTGGGGGCGGGTGCGCATCAAGGAAGCCAGGGTGGAGCAGGGATAGGGCAGGTCAAAGCTCTGCACTTCCTGTGCTGGCTGCGGCCTGCAGGGAAGGGCTGGGGAAGGTGGGCCATGAGACAGCCAGGAGGGGTGGAAAGGTGGAGGGGGAGCAGGCAGGCAGCCAGGAGGAGTGGCTGGAGGGGTGACAGGCAGTGAGGGACAAAGGGGTGCCAGGACCTCCTACTCCAGTCCGGGTCCGGGTGGGCTCTGGGTGACCACAGACACACCCACCCAGCCTGCCCTCAGGCAGGTGCCAGGGCCTCGCTCTATAGGGGAGGTTTGGGAACTGCCCCAGGGCCACCAGCCTGTGAGCATGCCCTAGGGGACGGGACCCAGTGACCCAAAGCTAGAGCCCAGACTTCCCCAGAGGTGGGTCCAGCTCAAGCAAAGGTCAGAGGTCACAGGGCCGAGGGGCCACAGCTTCCCTGGGGAGCACAGGAAGTGGGGCAGTGGGGTGCTGCCTTGGGGGGGGTGAAGGGCTAAGGGGAGGAGCCACAGTGGACACTGCAGCCCTGCCCATGGTGACCGCCCCAAGTGACTCCTTGGGGGCCCTTGTCTGACATGCCGTCTTTTTCCTTTTTTTCCAGAGCCTTCCAGGACCCTGGGCTACAACCTGACCCCCTCTCCTCCCAAGTCCCTCATGCCATCTGACAGGGGCAGCAGCTCCTGGGCGTCCACAGATCTGCAGTTTCAGGGGCATCGCCTCAGAGCCCTGGGTAGTCTGGGGCCTGGCGTGGGTCAGGGGCTGGCTGCAGTGACTGCTCTGAGAGCCCTAGAGGTGGCCTCAGGCCCCAGCCCTCGAGCCGAAGGCTGTCCAGGCCCAAAGCCAGCGCCAGATCCAGCAGCCAGACCCCCAGCCTCCAGTGCATGCCGCACCTGAACCTCATCACCCCAGCCCAACCCCACCCCTAGTGTACACCACTACCCACTGTCAGGCTGGCCTGGGCAGTAGGTAAGGGCCCCAGGGCGATCGTGGGAGCCCCCGTGTGAACTCTGGCCTCACAGAACCCAGAGGACCTGGGCGGGTGTGTTGGGTGGTGGGAAGTGAGCCTGGTACAGGAGAGCAGCCTCTTGGTAGAGGGAAGTTAGGAGTTGGGACCACCAAGGGTGGGAAGAGGGAAAGCCCAGGGGAGGGTGGTCCAACTCACCACCGCTGGCCCAGCTGCCCACCTCTTCCGTGTGGCCTGGCCTTCCCTGGAGGAGCAGGCCGGGAAGAGAGCAGACTGGGCCCAGGCCGAGGTGGCTGGAGCTGGGCCCTGTCCATCCCCTGGCCAGCCCTCCAGTCGCCCCAGGGCTCTGAGCCTCCCTTGGGTTGCCGTGGTCCCGAGGAGGGGCGCTTGCCCTAGGCCAACCAGGGTGCGACCACGCCTCCCATCCCTGGTGGACTTGTGGGGTTCCCCGCGCGGGGATGGGGTGGCCAGCTCCCTCTTCTTGGGGCCGGATACCCGGAAACCAAGCGAATCATTTTCGACTCTCAGGTGTACAGAAATGCGGTTTACTTGGTAGGCGGCGTTGGTTCAATAAACTATGCAGCTGGCACCGCCTGCCTCCGGCGCTTTCTCCCCGCCCCGCCCCGCAGCCACAGTCGCGGAGGCGCGGGAGCACAGGCGCCGGTGCCGCCGCCCTGCCCGGCCCTACACCGGCCAGCGCGAGTCCGAGGTGATGGGCGGGCAGCTGAGGAAGCGGAAGCCGAACCTGCTCTCGGCCGTGCTTTGCACCGACAGCGCCACCATCGGACAGCCGCGGTCCACGCTCT